GGGCACGGACAACATGGCCCTTTGTTAGTCGTGTGCGGTTGTTTGGTAATGCTCTCCGAAGTCTTGGGGCTCGAACCGGACCCGGAGGACGTGGTCCTGATGCCCCGAGGGCAGGTATTTTGCTCAAGCCCCGATACGAGGAGTTCCTCGCTGTGACTACGATTCCTTACGGTCTCGTCCCTGCTCCGTTTTACCCGTATACAGATGGATAATAAGCAAGCACAACAGCACTAAGATTTTCGTACTCCAAATTTTTATTTCTGATTGTATGAGAACTACAAAGGCATATACAAGATTAGGATTCAATTTGAACTTCAACATTAGAAAAGCTTGAGCAATGTATTTTTTTCATATAGGTACTATCTATTTGTGTCCCTTCTCTCAGTCCCAACTCCCCCCTCCAGAAAATAGAAAGAAAGCAAGATCACAAGTAGCGACAGCAACATTTGGTATTTATCAAAAAAAAAATATGCCATATGATAGCGATCGAAAGTCCTTACAAAAAACCTACACTATTATGTATATTATGGGCAGATACAGAGATAAGAAGACACAAATTTATAGTAAAAAAATGATTCTTCAAATACTTCTGTAAGTAATATTTTTAATTATAAAAGCCATACGTGATTTATAATTGTACTTGTTACATACGTGGTTAATTTCTTATCACGTAGCCCATCATATTTTGGAAAAAGAGAGAGTATTAATTCAGCACCAGCCACCAGGAAAAGAAAATTAAGTAAAATTTAAGAAGATGAGTAGTAAGAGTTACCTTAGAGATGCTAAGCGCATCAAGAAGTGTAAGAATGTCATACGCCAAACAGTTCTCTCATCAACAACAGTGCTCCCATCAACAGAAAGTCATATGCCTATTGCAATTTGCAAAGAGCGGGACTAGAGTTTTCTACTTCAAAATAGCTATAGTAACATTATTTTTTATTTTCATGACGGACAAAAATAAAAGTGTAACGACCCTACCGGTCGTTTGGAGCATTTGCACTTCGCTCGGTAGTTTGGGAGCATGAGTAGCTCTGTATGATGTATTATAACTGGTGTGTATCGTCGATTTTGGTTTTTAGGTAATCCGGAGTTTGATTTGTAAGAATGGATTTCACCATTGAAGCTTTAAGTTGGAAGAGTTGACCAAGTTGATTTTTGTAAACTTGACCGCGGAACGAAGTTTTGAGGGCTCCGTTAGGTCCGGATGGTGATTCTGGATTTAGGCGTATGCCCGGATTTGCATTTGAATATATCTAGAAGGATTCGACGCTAATTGTCGAAAGTTGAAAATTTGAAGGTTTGGAAAGTTCATAAGTTTGACCGGGAGTTGACTTTGATGAAATCGGGTTCGGGTTGTGGTTCCGGGAATTGGAATAGGTTCGTTATGTCATTTGGGACTTGTGTGCAAAATTTGAGTTCATTCCGAGTTGATTTAATATGTTTCGGCGCGAGTTTTGAAAGTTGAAAGTTCAAAGTTCATTTAAGTTTGATTTGAGGTGCGATTCGTCGTTTCGATATTGTTATGTGTGATTTGAGGCCTCGAGTAGGTCCGTATTTTGTTATGGGTCTTGTTGGTATATTTGGACGGGGTCCCGAGTGGCCCGAGTGAGTTTCGGACGAGGTTCGGACCATTTTCGTTTCATGTTTCATTGCTGAAGGTATGCTGGTTCTGGTGCTTCCGCATCTGCGGAAGAATGGACGCAGATGCGAGTCTGCAGATGCGGACAATTGGTTGCAGAAGCGCAAACAGGCTAGGCTGGAGATCATCGCAGATGCGGAGGAAGAGGCGCACCTACGTGTGCGCAAAAGCGACAATTTGGAGCGCAGGTGCGAAGTTTTCGCAGAAGCGGAATTTTTCTACCGCAGGTGTGGGGTGAGATGGGTCTAGCTATTTTCGCAGAAGCAGGGGTCGTAGATGTGACAGTGTGACCGCATATGCGGAATTTCTGGGTAGAAGCTATAAAAATCGAGATTTTGGGTTCTTTTATTATATTTTGAGATTTGGGGCTCGGATTGAAGCGATTTTTTAGGCGATTTTTATCACAAGGATTGGGGTAAGTGTTTTATACTCGATTTTGATTATATTTCGTGATTCTATCTTCGTTTTTGGTATTTGGATTATGAATTGTAAAGAGAAAATTGGAGTTTAGCCTAAAGTTTCATAGAATAGGTTTTTTGTTTTGAACATCGATTTGGAGTCGGATTTGAATGAAACTAGTATGGTTGGACTCGTAAATTAATGGGTTGTCGGTTTTATAAGTTTCATCGAGTTCCGTGGCGCGGGCCCAGGTTGAACTTTTGGGTTGATTTTGGGCTTTTGATTAAAGATTCGATCTTTTCGATTGGGTTTGTTTCCTTTGGCATTAATTGATGTATTTCAGTTACTTTTGGCTAGTTTCGAGTCGTTCGGAGGTTGGTACGGGCGGGATGGCATTTTTGGAACATTGCTTGGCTTGCTCGGTATTGGATTTGGTTTGTTCGAGGTAAGTAACATTTCTAAACTTGGTGTTGAGGGTATGAAACCCCGAATTAAGTTTTATGTTATTGATGTTGAGGTGACGCGCATGCTAGGTGACGGGCGTGTGAGCGTGCACCGTGTAAATTGTGATTTAGTCGATTCCATGGAACTGTGTAGTTATTTTATCTGAACATTTTTACCATACTCTATGTGTTAGAGAACTTGAGCTGTAATTTATGCTAGAAATCATGTTTAGGCTATATGGTGGTACTATTGGGACCCACAATGATCGTTCTTTGCTGATAAGTTATTTGCTTAATTGCAGTTATGTACTCAGTCGTATTCATCATTACATATCATATCTCAGTCTCTATTATTGTATATTGTCACATCTCATATCATTGATTTGGGCTGCTTAGCAAGAGTGTTGTGAACCCAAGAGACTTGAGAGATTGATGACTGAGTGAGGCCAAGGGCCTGTTGTGAGTGATATTTATGGGATTGGGCTGCACGCCGCAGCAAGCTTTATTGATTCATGCCAGGATATGGCTTAATATAGAGCTTGGGCTGGATCGGGCCCTCCGGAGTCTGCACACCCACAGTGCATTGGGCTGGATCTGCCCTGGTTTACTTACATTTTGGTTCATTTGCATTGGGCTGAATCTGCCCTGGTTTATTTGCATCTTTGGACTAGATCTACCTTGGTTTATTTGCATGTGGGCTGGATATGCCCTGTACAGTACTGAGTGTGCTGAGTATTGAGCATGATGAGTGAGAATAGGAGACAGTGAGATGGAGTACTCTGAGAGGGTGAGTACATGAGTTCATCATTGAGATGCATTGCATTTGACCTGCGTACTTGAGATACATGCATATAGATGCATTCCCTTCGGCTACCCGGCTTTGGTGACATTCATGATTTCAACATTATATTGACATGTAGGCATAGAGATGTATTTTTCTCATGCTATCTGAAAATGAAACATCTTATTTATTGTTGAAAAGTTTTTGGAAAAAATCACGATTTTCAAACTTATTCATATGTTATTGGTGCTTTCGGTGGAAGATTTGGGATTTATTGTTATACTTGAAAAGCATGCCTATCTTTCCGTAACTATGAACGAGCTGAGCATCTTACCTCTGAGTTATTTTCATGTACCATTTTATTATTATTGTTATGATTGTTGTTGGTTATTGGAGTTGGACTCTGACCCTTGTCCCAGCTCACCACTATTTTCAACCTAAGGTTAGGTTTGTTACCTATTGAGTACATGGGGTCGGTTGTACTCATACTACACTTCTGCATCTTGCGTGCAGATGTTGGATGCTGATGTTGCTGTGCACAGCGAGAGCTGGATCTGAAGATGCACATGTATTCCGGTCATAGCTACCTCTTGATCTTGGTAGCTTTAGAGTTTTAATCTGTTCTTGTACAGTTCAAACAGATGATGTACTTAAATTCATACCAGCTTTGTAAATTCTAAATCTTAGAAGCTCATGATTTGTACTACGGGAAGTTGTATAAAATTCAGTTATCTCATCTTTGATTTACATCATCGTTATTATATTATGTTATTTTGTTAATTGGCTTACCTAACGGATTGGGTTAGGTGCCATCACGACGGTAAGGATTTTGGGTCGTGACAAAAAGGAAGAAAGAAAAGGAAAGCAATTATCTAATGAGCGAAAATAAACCAAAAAGAATCAAAGACATCTAACAATTTTATTGTGAATTCACGAACCATGGCAAACAAAGTTTAGCATAACAGAGAGTTCAATCACATTACATTTTTTACCTTACACTTTTCGAATCAGAACTATATGAGAAGTTAAAAGAATTAAGCCAAGGACAAGTTTCTATCATGGCAACTCTACATTCTAAATTCATAAACATTTATATCATGAACTTAAAAAAAACCTAAAACTATTATATATAAAAAATTCAATCTGTAGAAACTTGCTAGCTTATACAATAAAATGTGTAGATAAACTAATAACTATAAGCCATACTTTAGTGGAACTTACCACGCTCTAAACAGGGTTTTTTACTAAAGTTATGAAGGTTTTTGAATGGTGGAAGAGAAATTATAATCGTGGCAGTCAATTTGGCTGAAACTCATGTTGATCTTCTCTTGATTTTAGTGTTCTATTGCCTTCTTTATTCTAAGGTGTGACCTTATTGTCCAGTGAGATAAAGAGTGACTAATTCTTGCAATAAAGAAGAGAAATAGAACGGGCTTACTTGCCACTAATAGGTCGGCATTTTGTCTAAACAGCTAAGGTGAAAGGCATATTTGACTGGGTCGGCATTTTGTCGAACAGTTAAGGTGCAAGGCATATTTGACTAATTATGAGCTTAATTTGAAAACCAACAAGCAATCAACTTCCATTGCAACATCAAAATTCTTTCAACATTAGGTATTAGATACTCTTTTACCCAGATAGCTAGACCCCAAAAAGTAGATATTAACCCGCGTATTCTATTCACTCATTTAGCTGAGACAAATTTGAATAAACTAAGGAATCAATTAGTTTAACTTACCTTTAAGTTGAGAAGCTGATAAAAGCAGAAAATAAAACCATTCAAGTGAAGGAACTGAAATATGACCCATAGCGAAGAAAGATGAAGAGAAGGGGTTTCTAGCAAGGGAACTGAAACGGGGTGCGAAGAAGGTCATAGGTTTGTGAGAGATGAACTGATCAATTTTGACTGTGCATGAGGTAGAAGATGTTAGATTTGGAGTCGGCGGTCGCAGACAAAGTTCTGTTGAAGGGATTTTTGGGATGATGAAGCAAAGAGGGTAAGTACTTCGATGTATTCCAGGCTAAAGACAACTGTGGGTTTAGAAGAATATAAATTAGAAAAATATAAAAAACTATTACTTAAGACTGCGTTCCGAAAATTATAGGAGGGAAAATTAGAAGGGGAAACAAAGGCATCTATTGCAACGGCTATACATCACCGTTGCAATAGATAACTCTGTGGCAACGGTTCTTTGGCTATGCAACGGTTCAATTAGAAAAGTGTCTTGATCGAACAAAGAAACCTTACGCAATGGTTATAACCGTTGCAACAGATATCAATCGCAACGGATGTATAACCATGCTAAAAATACCGTTGATATAGGCCTAATTTTTGGTAGTGAAAGTAGTACAACGAAGTGTGTGTGTGTATATATAGGTATAGTTGCATCTAAGAACGCGATGCGCTAGGGCTACAGGTTCGGTTTATTTGGGGGATAGACTTGTGAAAAAGCAATAATCTAATTAGTATATATAATTGATCATCATCAAATATATCTATTTGTAAATTGATTCATCGACTTATAACTTACTTAGATGCATCGATGAATATTAAAAATAAAACGTCTCGACCTATATCGATTAATCTATGTCATGCATTATTAGTTATGAATGAATGAAATATAGAACAATACCAAACTTCTTTGACATGTATATATGTATCATAAATTAAATAAATGAAAGAAGCTATTAGCATTAAGTAAACGAGTTAATATAACAATCGACTAAACATATTTAAAATAGAATAATATTGGTTTACCAATTGATCAAGTTTTCATGCGTAGTAATGTATGTGATTGATCATCAATTACAATATAATGTATGTGTGTGTGTGTGTGTGTGTGTGTGTTTGTGTGTGAAATGACTCATTTACTTATGTGATGACCCGATAGGTCAATTTCAGTTTTAGCCTTTTATTTATGTGTTATGATACCTCAAATAGCTCCGTTTAGCCTTCCTCAATTTGCGTGCGCAGTCCGTGTCTTTTTTCAAAAAAAAATTTATGTGAAAAATTGATGAAAATATAAAAAATTGCCTTAAAACTCATTTGAGTTGACTACGGTCAAAGTTTTATGTAAACGGACCCAGATCAGTATTTTGACGGTCCCGGTGTATCGTATCGTAATTTGGAACTTGGACGTATACCCGAAATCGAATTCGGAAGTCCCTAACTTGATTTAACGTAATTTGTTGAAAACTAGCAATTTAAATGTTTAAAAAACTCCTAAGTTTGACCGTAAGTTGACTTTGTTGCTACTGGGTTCGGATTTCAGTTTTGGAACTTGGTATAGGTTCATTTCAGTATTTATGACTTGTTTGCAAAATTTGATCTAAAACAGAGTTGATTGGACGTGATTCGGATGTCCGGTTGTAAAGTTGCATGTTCTTGAGTTTCTTTGAAAATATCATTCATTTTGATGTCCGATTCATAGTTCTAAGTGTTATTTTGGTATTTTGATTATGCGAGCAAGTTCGTATGATGTTATTACACTTGTGTGCATATTTGGTTTGGAGCCTTGAGGGCTCGGGTGAGTTTCAGACGCGTTTCGAAGAGTTTGGTAGAGTTTGGTTGTAGCTGGTGTGACCTGTTGTTCAGGTCTCGCAAATGCGAGATCAGAGGTCGCAATTGCGACAAATGGCCAAGTCTGTGATAATCGCATTTGCAAACATCCTGTTCGCAATTGCGAAGATGGCCTAGGGCGGCAGGGATCGCATTTTCGATCATTTGATCGCTTTTGCGTCCTGTCCAAGTTCGCATTTGTGAACATATCATCGCAAATGAGATGATAGCAGAGATGTGGGGAGTTCGCATTTCCGATTGCTTCTTCGCATTTGCGGGGTTCACATTTGTGAACCCCAGGTCACATTTGCAACATTTGAGCCTGGACAAATAGCTGAGGGACGGGATTTTAGCCTCACTTTTCATATTTTAGAACCCTAAACACCCTAGAGGCGATTTTCTAAGAGGACTTTCTTCCCAAAAACTTTGGTAAGCAACTTTAATCTATTTCTTTTCAATTACCCATTACTTTTCAAGTGTTTTCAATATTAAATCTAGGATTTTCATGGTAGAAATTAGGGATTGGGGTAGAATTAGGAGTTTTTGTAAAATTGAGATTTATACCTCAAATTGGGGTCGAATTTTGAAACTAATCACATAATCGGGCTCAGGGATGAATGATTAATCCAGTTTTGGTTCGAATCTCGGATTTTGACCAAGCGGGCCTAGGGTTGACTTTTTGAAAAAAGTGTAAAGATCTTAGCTTTATGTATTGTAATTGATTTTTCTTGTATTGATTGTTGATATTAAGTCGATTTTGGTTAGATTCGGTTGGTTTGGAGGTGAAGTTTAGAGGAAAGGCCCCGATTGAGCTTTAATTTGCTTGCGGAGCGAGGTAAGTGTTGGGTCTAAGCTTGATTTGAGAGAATTAGGAACCCTTGAGCTATGTGTTATGTGAATTACATATGTAGCGGCGTATAAGCGAAGTGACGAGTGTATATACGTCGTCAAAATAGTTGTTTTCATGATTTCCCGTATTCTCACTCTATGTCTTAACTGCTACATGTTTTAATTACTTTCTATGCAGTAACTTGTTACTTGTCATCTATTTACTTTTGTATTGAAATGCTCGTTTCTTCCATGATTCCATGATTAATTGCTACCTGCCTTACTTTCTTACTTGCACACTTTAATTGTCATATATTTGGCTTGTCTTGTTGCTTTGTATTAATTTTAGCATTCCTTGATTTGGTATGAGGTTCCTTTATGGCTTTGCTTTCATAATTCTTTAATCATAAAGATTCTTGTGAATTGAGTTGTTGAATTGATTACATTTATTGATTTTATACATGGATCGGGTTGCACGCCGCAACGGGTGAAATAAGGGAGGATTGATATTGATATGGTGGGATCCGGTTGCACGCCGCAATGAATTTTATGTGTGATTTTGATATGGTGAAATAAGGGAGGATTATGATATTGATTCTGATTATATGGTGGGATCGGGTTGCGCGCCGCAACGAATTTTACATGTTATTCTTGATATTGATATAGCGAAATAAGGGAGGATTGTGTTTGTATGTTGGGATAGGGTTGCGCGCGCAACGGTTTGTGTTTTTTGTATTTATTGTTACATTGTGTTAGCTTTCAGTATTTTCATACGAGATTCTGAGGAGTGATGTTTCTGGTTTTACTAAATTCGAGGATTGAGTTTATTATCATCAGTTAGCTGCCTTACTTTTCCTATGTTCCTTTCCTATTATTATTATTATTATTATTATTATTATTATTATTATTATTATTATACTGCGTACAAGTTATTGTAAGTGACTCGCCTTAGCCTCATCACTACTTCGTCGAGGTTAGGCTCAACACTTATAGAGTACATGAGGTCGGTTGTACTCATACTACACTCTGCACTTCTTCTGCAGATTTTGGAGTTGGTCCTAGAGGCGGTCAGTAGATTGCTCGGATTGATTGCCTGACGGAGACTTGAGGTACAGTTGCACGGCGTTCGTAGCCCTGAAGTCCCCTTCTACCTGATTCTAGTTGTTTATTTCATTTCAGACAGTCATGTATTCATTCAGATCGTTATTTGTATTGCTCTAGTCGCTCGTGTATTTGTGACACCAGTTCTGGGATTGTATCTGTAACGACCCAACCAGTCGTTTTGCTTTCTAGATCCCTGTTCCCCCAAATAATACTCTCCGTATGTGCTTTTACTGTTTTATGACCTGCGGGGATGGTTAGTTCGGGATTTGGAAGGGTTCTGGTTGAAATCGGAACACTTGGTTCCTTAGTTTGGCTTTTAAAATGGCTAAGTTTGACTTTGGTCGATATTTTGAGTAAACGACCTCGGAATCGAGATTTGACTATTCCAATAGGTTCGTATGATAATTTTGAACTTGGGCGTATGTTGAGATCGGGTCTTGGATGACCCGGGAGCGTTTCGGCACTTAAGGTTGAAAGTTAGCTTATTGAAGGTTTAAAAGTTCTTTAAATTTGGTTTGGAGTAGGTTTTGGTATTATCGAGGTCCATTTGGGATTCCGAGCCTGGAAATAGTCCTGTATGGTGATTTAAGACTTGCACGCAAAATGTGATATCATTCTGAGTAGTTTAGGTATGATTCGGCGCGTTCAGAGCGAGTTGGAAGAACTTGAAGTTCATAAGTTGATCCTATTGGTTTGGGTTGCAATTCTTAGTTTTAATGTTGTTTTCCGTGTTCCAAGGATGCGAGCGAGTCCGTTTATGTTTACAAACTTGTTTGTATCTTTGGACGAGGCCTCGGGGGCCTTGGGTGCCATCCGGACGATGCTCGGATCATTTTAGAGCCCAAAGGACTGCTGGTGCACCAATTCTGGTGTGCCCGCATCTGCGGTCAAAAGCTCATAGATGCGGGGAAAGGGCCGCATCTGCGAAGGCGCAGGTGCAATATTCCTAGCACAGAAGCGGCCTGGGCTGTGGCCTGTAGACCGCAGAAGCGGTGAGACATCCATAGAAGCGGACTCGCTTCTGCGAGGAAACGGCCACAGGTGCGCTTGGAGGCTGGCCAGGCCTGACCACAGCTGCGACCTGGCTTCCGCAGAAGCGGTAGACCGTCCGCAGAAACGAAATCGCTAAAGGCATGAGGTCGTTTAGGACGGACTTAGACCATTGTTTTGACTCATATCTTTCATTTTCTTGAACGATTTTGGAGCTTTTGGAGAGGGGTTTCCATCTAGCTATTTGAGGTAAGTAATATCTATCCAATATGAGTTAAATAAATAGATTATGGGTACATTTTAACATGAAATTTTATGAATATTATGGGTTTAGATGAATAACCCTAGGTTTTGATAAAAATGGGATTTACCCACGAAAATGGTTATGGAATTGAGGGAAAATAAAATATTTGAGTTCGTGAGGTTATGGGTAACAACTTTCTTCAAAATATTCTGGAATCTGGGCACGTGGGCTCAGGGTGAATTGTAAGAATCTTCCAATTTGGGTTGGTGAATTACTCTAATATCTAAATCATTAACTTTTGAACA